AAGCTATTGATAACTAGACTTTTCCATTGAGAAAATTATTTTGGTAGAAACCTCGACAACCTTTTGTTAAATTAAAACTGAGAATACCTGGCTTAGCCTTATCAGTTCCCTCTGCATCTGAAAACCAGATGTTTACGCTTGCAGAAGTTTCTGGGTAAATAACCCTTTAGTTCCCAGAAGTGATTAACGTTTAATTTCTCCCTGAAATATCCACACATTATTCAGCAAACTGGTAATGAGCATTCTCAAACTTATCAGGTTGAAGTTGTTCTTTTGATCTAACACCAAAGTCTCATAACCAATTTACAAGGAAATTTGTAGCAGCTAGAGGAGGGGACTGTGCGGCAACTACAACTACCCCACTAGTAAAGCCAGAAGCACTGGCAGAAGCGTGCAAAACCTTTTTTTTTTTTTTTCGTTATGTTAGCATTTCTGAAGGTAAATGGACCATGATAACTCAGATCTTTTCACCCGCAAGGAACTGCGATAGACTCAGACTTAGCCTAAGTCTGTGGATGGGACTGTGTGCGAGGCTTCTTTCCACAAGTTAAACAGAAAACTTTTTTTCTTGCGCAAAGCGGCCATTGCTTTTGCCAATAGAAATGAGTGATGTAGAGGTTTCAAAAAGCTTTTTCCATGAGCGGCTGCCGATGGTGTTAAGAGGCAGATGTGCCCGGAAAAGGGGCTGTAAGGCAAAATCCAAATACGAGATCCTGCTCGAGGTGATGGTCGATTAGTCCTTTACACCTTAACATCAGTATGCGTATTCTCCTTAGTCATCATTTCCTATATTCTCGTGAGCTTAACCTGATATTTTAAGGAGAAATTAGATGTTCGTCACTCTTAGGGATCAAAGGGTTAAACGACGGATAACCGCAGATAACACAACAAATACTTTCTTATTAATCCAGATGTAAGCACGTCATGATACAAAAACCGACTAACCATAATTCGTAGCGAACCTTAGCCCGGGAACAAATAAGCAACACGAAATGTCTCTTAAAGGAAAACGCTACACACGCCTGCCAAACAAACGTCGACAGGCGGAGATCTTATAGGCGGCTTAAGACCACCGGCAACCGGCTTTTATCGAGACCGATGATGATGTATTTAAAATCACTTTAGGTTATTTGAACAACCCAGAGGCTACCGCGAGGACAATTGACGCTGATGGCTGGCTTCACACAGGAGACATTGGACATTATGACGAAGATGACTATTTCTTTATTGTTGATAGACTCAAGGAACTCATTAAATACAAAGGATTCCAGGTAATCTGTGCAACCGTTCTTCCGTGCAGAATTCTTAAACGTATCTGAGTTAATAGCTGATGATCGATAACTGAAATCGAATGAATATTCTCTCACTGGCCTTTGCAAACTATCTCCGCCCCCGGATGCTAGTATTTCCTTTTGGTCTTCTGTACTTCTTTGTCAGCGGTGTTGTCGATAAAGATACCATATCGCAACACAGCGGTCAAACGTTGGGCATGCGCGAAGGGATCTATTCTGGTCTTCCGCGCCTAATTTCAAATGAAAACATGAGAAACAACTACCGAAGCTGTCTCGCAAAGTCAGCGAAATAGGATTTAAACGCTCATAGAAATCTGCAAGAGGAAAAAAAACTAGGGCAATGGAAAAGTAGAGACTTATTGAACACAAAGCCTTTTAAAGTACGGGTATCCTGTCCAAAGGTTATATCCTGTGACTTACTGCTCCGTGTGGTAGTTTAGAACTCTTGATATTGTGAGGCAACTTGGTTCTGCCAGCCTGACTAGTCATTACAATATTTGCACAAGCGCAGACGTTTGACCGCTGTGTTTTATGTTGCTAACAGTGAGCCTTGCAATTTGTATTTTAGGTTCCTCCGGCAGAGCTCGAAGCATTATTACTTTCCCACCCAAACGTGAGCGATGTGGCAGTCATCGGCATTCCCGATCTTGCGTCGGGTGAGCTTCCGAAAGCATTCGTGGTTCGCCGTGGAGACATAACGTCGGAAGAACTGAAGCAATTTGTGGCCAGTAAAGTTCCGCCAGAGAAGAAACTCCGGGGTGGGGTGGAGTTTGTAGAAAAAATACCAAAGTCAGCCAGTGGAAAAATGCTTCGACGTCTGCTCAGAAAGCAAGAGCAACAGAAGAGTCGTCTTTGATTTCCCGTGTTGAGCGCACTTTTATCAGTAAAACTTATTGATGTGGTGGGCTCCGTGAACAGCCTGGAAGAAGCGAGTCTGATTGACAACCCCGAGCGGGATCACTCGCCTTGTTCCGCTCAATGAAATTTTTAGTTGTGATCTATACCATATGATTAATGTTATACATGATTTCCTTGTTTATTTACGTCCACTTCGTCTAGGTTAATAAAAATGTAATTATTTGGCAAATCTATAACCATCTCGACCGATGGAGCTCTGAGAAGAACAATATAAGATCCTTAAAATAGTATGAATGGCGTGAATCACACAACTGTTATTATAATAATAATAATAATAATAATTAAATTAAACTTCTTGAACTTTAAAGAAGAAGAAGATAATAATAATACTTATATAGCACCGATATCAAAATTGCTATTTTCATCAGCGCTTGAAAGAACTGTTTGAGTACAATTTCCACTTTCACCTAGACTCGAGGCATCACCAACAAGAACTCGTCAAGACTAAAACTTACCTTCGGTATCAAAGATGTAGCCTTCGCAAAAAAGGCTGTAACCACAAGTTCTGACTTTCTTTGGGACCTTTCCATCTTTCTCAAGCCATTTCTCGACGAAAGGTGAATCAAAATATAGAATATATTTAAGAGATTTCGACTACGCGACGGAAGCCACAACTCCCTCAGCCACAGTGTCTACTAGAAACGTGCCGACAGAATGCCCGTCCAGCCTGGATTTGGTGCGCCACGCGATCCAAGGTGGCGCTGCGTGATGAAGGTGTATCACACGTATATCCTTTGTCCCATTGCTATTTCATTTTTCTTGCGAATAAAGAGAAATATTTGCATGATTATCCGTTTTCCCAGAGGCGATTCTCAATATGGGAGTGGTAATTGGGCCAGAGAGCCCTATTGGAGGGTGGCGAAGGAGGGGTCCGATCATACGTCACGCTGCGTCTGTGGGAGAGTATAACAGGGTAATTTCACATTATCCACTGAGTTGATAACGTAAATTAGCCACCATAAAGAGTTAAAAAGCTGAAGTTTCGAGCGTTAGCCCCTCGTCAGCTTCGTTAACAGTTAAAAAGCTGATGTTTCGAGCGTTAGGCCCTTATCAGCTTCTTTGCTCCGACGAAGGGCTAACGCTCGAAACGTCACCTTTTAAACTCTTTACGGCGGCCAATTTACGTTATCATCTCCGTTGATAATACAATTTAACCGATGCAGCACCTTTCAGTCATGACTAATTTTTTACTTTTTGACAGCGAAAGTAGAAACGCAGGAATCTCCGATACGCGACATTCTCGGTATTACTTCATCATCAGTTATAGCTCTCAAGAAATCTATCTGCTGAAGAAACAAAAGCAAATACAACATTAATGGCGGTTGGGAAATATGAATAACAAACACTTTTCAATCTTCAGAGCGCAATTAGTAGGGTCAATTATATTTTCATGTCACAAACTACGTACAACCATTCTCTAATTAATTATTATTATTATTATTATTATTATTATAACAGTTGTGTGATTCACGCCATTTATTCTCTTTAATTCTAAAGGAAGATTTGTGAAGAGGAACAATTACGAATAACATTACCCCTGAGGGACTTGTTTACAACGCTGTTGTCACGCACACACTCAATTTCGAATTCACCGAGTCATCTGAACCTAACTCTTTCATAAGGCATCAGCTTGTAACAGTCATTCATGCTTTTCTTCTTTTCACAAAGTCACTTCGAACTTGGAAAGGAAGATCGTTTCAAATTGGCTAAACGTGTGAGCATATTCGCAGCCTTTGTAAACGTTATGCTAGACATACGATCGACATTTCGACAGTTTGCATTTGTTTTCCTTAAACTCTGAGCTCTAATTATGCGAACAGAAGTATTGTGAATAAATGTATTTAGCCGAAGCAATTTTGAGATTCACTTTCCTAATGAAAGACAACACGGCGTACTACATAAAAATGTTATCAACCGCTTCGTCTACATGTGTTAGACAAGGTTGGCCAATAAAGGATTTAGGTTGGCCAATAAAGGATTTAGGCTGCCCAATAAAGGATTTACTGAGGCTGGCCAATAAAGGATTTATGACTGCCCGTGAAAGTGGCAGATGCACACCTCGCTACTTTGCGGCTTGATAGAAAACCACTTAATACTTGTTGGTTATTCCATGCGATTACACCATTTTACCACATTAGGGCACTGGAACGCGCAAAATATAGCGCAGTATTAAACTGTAGAACAGGGAAAAAACATGTATGGACGGAAAGTGGAGCTGGAAAATGATCGCTCTGAGCGATCCAAATTTTGCTTTGGTCCGTTTTTTACGCCTCGCCTCTTATTCGAAAAACTTCCGCCTGAGATTTTGGTTAGCCATAATATCTCTAAAAATGGTTTCGTATGTGATGTTTTCGCCTTCCGCGTTCGATGAATGGTCAGATGAAACCTTCAGGTACTTACTTAAAAAACTAAAAGCCAAATTACTTAAAATTGAAATAATAGACAAGGAGTGATGGCCTTATTCGATGGTTTACCATATAATATTAGGGGACACTGCACATATCTTCTATTTTTCCTCGCCACTACGGACTCGGAAAAATAATGGCTACGCAACGCGCACGTTATGAGCATTGTTTTTGTGTGTTAAATTAATCGTGTATTTTCTTGTTTTTGTTTTGTGTTGTTTTGAGCATTTTTTTTTAAATTGGTCGTGTATATTCACAAGTAGTGAACATAGAGATGCGCCCATGGTGTGAAACTTGAGACAAACGATTTTTTGTTTTGATGGACATATGTCAATCAATATATATCGGTGATTCATTTATCTTTGACTTTTTTTACCTGTTTTAATGTCAAACTGGAACACTCGAAACCGAAATAGAGGCTCAGAAGTCTGCTGGAAAGGTCTGGCAGCTCATTCTGCCGAGGTATGGGCTTGGTGCAGTAGATGAAAAGACCGGTATTCAAGTCAAGGTTACGGCCATTCACTCTAAGGTGTCTCTAATCAGCATGCTCGCTCCATCCCCCGATTGGTTCGTAGGAGTTGACAGCCATGAACTCTGTGAAAATGGCCGATGGCGAGAGGCCTGGCACGTCATTACGTTACTACCGTATGATTCAGGCACTGATAGCGGGTCTCAGTTTATTGGCCGCGATCAACCAACAGTGCCACCTGTGCCAATCTTCCGAATCAATAACACCATGAATGGTGTTTTTAAGGCCAATGAATCCATCAAAAGCCTGGGGGAGTTTCGATTCAAGCTTCAAGTGGAGATGGAGAACTCGGCCAGCAAGGACCGTGTTAATTTGCTTGTGATCGTTACTGTTGCTTCCATTCTGGCATTTTTGTTTTAGGGTATCAAATTATTTAAGTTTTTTTCCGCGTCTTAGTGGAGTGGAGTTTTTGACCTTTTTCCTTGAGAGCTGAATAGAAGAAGAATAAACATATGCGATTTATTTTCCTGGGTCGCAGATTCCCTTTACTGTGAAAAATTAGGGCCGGTCAGCTGTGAAAAGTTTTACTTGATTCAGTAACTATGGTTCCTTTTGGAGAACGTTGCAAGTTTTACTGCCCTTCAATCTTCCTCCATGCTTGTCACCGCATTAAAGTAAAATTTTCACAAATCTTCCAAGCACACACTTCACATTTACCATTAAAACTTGTGGCCAGTAAAGTTCCGCCAGAGAAGAAACTCCGGGGTGGGGTGGAGTTTGTAGAAAAAATACCAAAGTCAGCCAGTGGAAAAATACTTCGACGTCTGCTTAGAAAGCAAGAGCAACAGAAGAGTCGTCTTTGATTGCCCGAGTTGAGTGCACTTTTATCAGTAAAACTTATTGATGTGGTGGGCTCCGAGAGCAGCTTAGAGGGAGCGAGTCTGATTGACTACCCCGAGTGGGATCACTCGCCTTGTTCCGCTCAATGAAATTTTTAGTTGTGATCTATACCATATGATAAATGTTATACACAGTTAATTACACGTACATCCTTAGTCCCATTGCTATACTAAAAAGGGCTGTGGTACCTCTTATCCATTCCATTTTTCTTGAAAATAAAGAAAAATATTTGCATCATTATCCGTTTTCCCAGAGGCGGTTCTCGATATGGGAACAGCAATTAAGCCAGAGAGCCGTATTGGCCCGGCGGAAAAGGAAGCTTGAGCACAGTAGAGGTATCGTCAGTTATCCTTAAAACATTCCATTGAAAATAAAGTAATTATACCTTCATACATGTAAATCAGGTGCTGTTGGTAACCCATTTCTTGCTGTTGTTGTATTTAGAAAAACCGCCGAAGAATCTGTGGTGCTGCGTCGGTGGGAGAGTATAACAGGGTAATTTAGTATTATCGACTGAGTTGATAACGTAAATTAGCTACCGTAAGGAGTTTAAAAGCTGACGTTTCGAACGTTACCCCCTCGTCAGCTTCGTTAAGAGTTAAAAAGCTGTTGTTTCGAGCGTTAGCCCCTTATCAGGTTCGTTGTTCCGACGAAGGGCTAACACTCTAAACGTCACCTTTTAAACTCTTTTCGGTGGCCAATTTACGTTATCAACTCAGTTGATAATATAACTTAACCGATGCAGCGCCTTTCTGTCATGACTAATTTTGTACTTTTGACGGCGAAAGTAGAAACGCAGGAATTTCCGATATGCGACTTTGTCGGTATTACTTCACCATCAGTTATGGCTCTCGAGAAATCTATCTGCTGAAGAAACGAGAGCAAATACGACATTAATGGAGGTTGGGAAATATGAATAACAAACACTTTTGTAGAGAGGCAATCTTCAGGGGAGAGTTTGTAAGGACAATTTTATTTTAATGTTACAAACTCCGTGAAACGAGAGAACTACTATCAAAGGATTTCTTTTTTTGCTAGCTGATTAAAGACTGACTTCCTTGGTAGCAACAATGTTGTTGTTATTATATTTTGAGTACTAAATACGTCAGACCCCTTTGTGTAAATTATAAAAGTTGATTTGTTGAGAGGAACAAATTTGAATAACATTACCCCTGAGGGACTTGTTACGACGCCGTAGTCACGCACACACGCAATTTCGAATTCGCCGAGTCATCCGAACCCAGCTCTATAAGAAGACATCAGCTTGTAGCGTCATTATTGCTTTTCTCCTTCTCAAGTGCGAAGCCACTTCGAACTTGCAAAGGAAGCTCGTTTCAAAATGGCTAAACGTGTGAGCATATTCGCAGCCTTTGTAAACGTGTTGGTGGCCTCTTCGATGGCTGCAAAATGTCCCGGATACGCAAACTATACTTTGACATGGAAGGCCTCATGGACTCGTGATAATCATCCGAATACACCGCTTCCAAGCGGTGCACATTTCTCGAATCTAATCGGTTGTACTCATGGATCTGATTACATAATGTGGCGGAGAGGAATGAATGCTTCTGCTGGTGTTAAATCAGTGGCAGAACTAGGTAAGAAAACGAACTTTGTTGCAGTCGTTTTTCAGGTTTTTACGGATCATCTTATTCGAATATTGAGCCAAAACGTTTTTTGAAAGACTTACCAAGACAATTTCCTTTCCTTGTCCTAACAATGGTGGCGAACATAAAAGTTAAAAAAGACATACGATCGACATTTCGAAAGTTCGCATTTGTTTTCCCTAAACTCTGAGCTCCTATAATGCAAACAGAAGTATTTTGAATAAGTTCATTTAGCCGAAGCAATTATAAGATTCACTTTCCAAGTGAAAGAAATCCCGACGTACATGAAAATGTTATCGACCGTTTCGTCTACGTGTTATAGACAAAGCGTGGATCAAGATGGTTGGATATTGACCAAATTCTTTTTTTTTCGCGTCGAGGTCCATAAATACGCAAGAAGGAACGAGGCTAATATCCAACCATCTTGCCAAACCAGCTTGGGCAATTAAGGATTTACATGGTGGCCGAGGGCTGCCACTCATAGACGTGAATTGCCCATGGATTTCAGTTTTATTTTGAAATGAATTTTGCCTTTAAATTTGATTTCTACTTTATTTTACTTTCAATCTTTCTTTTTCCTTTCTTTTGCAGTCACGTTCCATTTTACTTTCAGTTTTGATTTCTTTTTTTTTACTATTCAATCTTAGAAAAACTAAAATTCTGAGTGGCAGCCCTCGGCCACCATACATATCTTCTATTTTTCCTCGCTATTACGGACTCGTAAAAATAATTGCTTCGCAACTCGCATGTTATGAGCATTTTTTTGTGTGTTAAAATTAATCGTATATGTTTTTGTTTTGTATTGTTTTGAGCATTTTTTTTTAAAAATAGGTCGTGTATATTCACAAGTAGTAAACATAGAAATACATCCATGGTGTGAAACTTGAGACAAACGATTTTTTGTTTTGATAGACATATGTGAATTAATACATCTCAGCGAATCATTTATCTTTGATGTTTTTATTTGTTTTAAGGTCAAACTGGAACACTCAAAGCCGAAATAGAAGCTCAGAAGTCTGCGGGAAAGGTGTGGCAGCTCATTCTGCCTGGGTATGGCCTTGGTGCAGTAGAGGAAAGGACCGGTATTCCAGTCAAGGTTACCTCCAACTTTTCAAGGGTGTCTCTGATCAGTATGCTCGCTCCATCCCCCGATTGGTTCATAGGAATTGACAGCCATGATCTCTGTGACAATGGCCAATGGCGAAAGACCTGGGACGTCACCATGTTACCACCGTATGATTCAGGCACTGATAGCGAGCCTTCGTTTATTGGCGATCAACCAACAGTGCCACCTGTGCCAATCTTCCGAATCAATCACACCATGGAGGGTGCTTTTAAGGCCGATAATCCCATCAAAAGCCTGGGGGAGTTTCGATTCATGCTTCAAGTGGACATGGACAACTCCGGAAAGGAGAACTCGGCCAGCAAGGATTGTGTTAATTCGCTTATGATCGTTATTGTTGCTTCCATTCTGGCATTTTTGTTTTAGGGTGCCAAATAATTTAAGTTTTTTTTTCCGCGTCTTAGTGGAGTGGAGTTTTTGGCCTTTTTCCTAGAGAGCTGAATAGAAAACAAATAAACAAATGCGATTCATTTTCTTGAGTCGCAGATTCCATTCACTGTGAAAAGTTGGGGCTGGTCAGCTGTGAAAAGTTTTACTTGATTCAGTAACTGTGGTTTCTTTTGGAAAACGTTGCAAGTTTCATTCCCCTTCGATCTTCCTCCATGCTTGTCACCGCATTTAAGTAAAAATTTTCACAGATTTTTTCAAGCACGCACAACCCATTTATCATTAAAACTATCAATAACGAATCTTGCATGAACTGACATAAACTTGGTATGATAAATATTTCGGAGATTTTTTTTTTTTTTTTTTTTTACAGTTTAATGAGGGAGATGCTAGAATATCTTCTTAGAGTCGAAGTGATCTTGAACAGCGGTTCTCCCCCCCCCCCCCCCACCTTCCCCAACCCTTTTCTCAATTTTGGTATTAGAATATAACAATTTTCGTGTGAAGGCAGCCATACGTTACGAGCCATAATTTGGTTTTATCAACTGAGTTGATAACTGAATGTAAATTGGCCACTGTAAAGAGTTTCTTAAGCTGATTTTCCGAGGGCAAGCCCTTCGTCAGAGCGAGACATCGCCACGGTTTCTATATAAACTTATCCCCCTCATTTTTTTTCGAATTACCAACAGATGTGTAAATAACAAATAACTGATTAGTATTACACTAAGGCTACAAAGAAATGTTTCCTGGTGTCATTACTACAGTCAGTGTCATTTTTTTTACCGCCGTCGGGGTTGTTTTGTTTTTGTCATTAATCATCAGCGGAATCACTAGACCAGTAAATGCGTTATTGTCTAAAGTGTGAGGTCAAAATAGCCGGAGATTGGCTGAGTCTTTGTGTGTGTTTGTGTTGTTATGGATCGAGACGAAGTTGACGTTCTTAACCCTTTCACTCCCACAAGTGACCAAGACAGAATTTCTCCTTACAATAACAATACAATATCAAGCAGGCAGGTGATGAGAATAGAGAAGAATATCAATCATAGGATTATTAGTTGATCCAATACCAAATTCTCTGAACTAACATTATAAGAATTGTATGGCAGATAGTAAGGAGAATTACTAATTAGATCTTGGGAGTGAAAGGGTTAAGAGCGCAGAAAGAAATAGGAAAAAAAAAGGAGCAAGGCTAATGTCCAGCCATCCTGACCGAACAAGCTTGGTCAACAAAGGATCTATCGTTTAGCGAAAAGATTGCGCTCAAGAATGACTTGTTGATTTTCGGGCACTGGAAGGGAAAACCAACTGCGATGGAATGTGCTCGTTTTTTATTTGACAAAGTCATTTCGAATTTCTATTGGAACTCCTTTTTCGACATTGTTCCAAAAGGAAAGCGGGATAAAAGCACGCAAGATGGGCCAATCTTGTCCCTTCGGGTAGACGTCTATAACACGGGATTCGCTTCACTTCACTGACCACATATTCTCTGTTATGAATATAATTCATATTAGTATTGTAAGATATTAGTTTTATCCCGGCAAGCTTCTACTTTTACCGTCACATTTCAAACACAAAAAGCAATAATGAATGCAATCTGACCGTGGAATCGTGAAGATATCATGATACTGAATGTAATAAAATAAATGTAAGTTTATATCTATAAAATTATAAAAAGGGTTCAAGCTTTCCCGACAGTAAATGGAAACATTACTGGTTATATTCTGTATAGACAAGAGATTATAAACAGTTAATCATCTCTTGGTATAGATCTTGTCACGTATTTTTGTGTGCGCGTGTCTATGTCAGCTTTAATTTATTCCCTAAAAAGGCCCTGGTGAATATTTTATTGCGTTAGTTGTTCTGGGTTTGTTTTGTTTTGTTTTGTTTTGTTTTTTTTTTTCTGACGTTGGGATTTTTCACCAGCTTGTGGTGAACACCCACGCGTTCGTTTGAAATTCACGAATTCTAACAGGAAAAAGCGTGTTTTCTTTGAGACTGAAAGAAATGTTCAAACTCAAGAAAGCCGGAGATTTCAAAGTATGTTCAATATTTTGCGAAAACCTTACTTCTTGGAGAGACTATTTACCATTCATAAAGCGTTATAATCATAGCTTTCGGACGGAGGCTGATTTTAATGTCCCAAATTGTATCTTTGACGTCAAATTAACAAGTAAAAAAAATAATAATGAAATAAAAAAACGTTTTTGTCAGATACGTCAAAGGAACTTCTTGTCAGATTACAAACAATTCATTCGTGAGCCGGCTGCGAGTTGTTATGATTACAAACACGCCAGTTCCCATGACGGAATCATTACAATTGGCTCGTGAAACAAAGACTGACGGTGGGCAAATTTGAAAATGTAAACAAAGGAAATGTTTCTAAAGCAAATATCTTTCCCACTTAATGTCATGCATGTCTAAGTTATGATTTGCTGAGTCACTGGTGCTCATCAAATTTAATCATCTTTTTAAAATAAAACCGGGGTCAGGCTAAGATGATAATTTTAAATTGAAGCAAGTTATAAACGGTCCTCGGCGTCGACTGCGAAAGTCACTCTTGCGAAGATGGCACAACACATAGGCACTCTCTTGGCTGTTCTTAGCGTTGTTGTAGTTTCGTCAACTGCAGTTAAATGTCCTGGGACAGCCACATACACATTATCGTGGAAAGCTACTTGGACCCTAGCAAATCATCCGAATACAGCCCTTCCAAGCAATGCACACTTTTCTCCTTTAATAGGTTGCTCTCACGGTGCGGACTACATCATGTGGCGAAGAGGACAGAAAGCTTCTTCTGGCGTTAAGTTGGTCGCTGAAACAGGTTAGAAAATGAACTTTTAAATCGGTTGTTTTTTAGCCATTGTACAAAAATCCCTTTTTCCACAAATTAAACAACAAAATAAAACTTGTTGGCGACCAAATTTTAAAACGCTTCGACTTCCGTGATCGGCCGACCAGAGAATGCAAATGTTTTCGTTCAACGAAATTTTGTATGATCTTACTTCGTTCGTTTGAACGATGCGGATTTTTTTTCTCTACGTTTTAGCTTTGGTCAGTCGTAAGCTTCTCGTCTGTAAAGGCATTCATAGAAATAATTATTTTGTCAAAGATCTCGATCGTCTAAAAAAATTGGGAAAGGAATTTCACAAATCATGACGTCAAGGGCATAACAGAATATTTGACGATTATCCGCGTCAGGCTCAGTGAATATTTTTTAATAATCTCCGAGACGAATTCGAGGGTATTATTCAACATTATTTTTTTTTTCAGAGGGCACGGTAACGAATCCTGCAATCTGATTGGACCTTTACGCGGTCTGTATTTTCCTATCTCTGCCCAAGGGCAAAGGTAACACTTTCGTGAGTCGCCGAGTACATCCCTACTTTCGTTGCCATTTTTCATAAATATATCTCGTTTTTCCGGCTGGGCAGTATTTTTAAGCAAGGACGTCGGTCACTAAATATTGGTTTCAGAATTAATTTGTACAAGCAACGGTGTCATTACGTTGGTTGACAAGCGGCCTAAAAACCGTTTGCAATTAATTTTGATCGTTCACAAAAAGTACCTAGAAAGTTAAAACGTGAGGTATTTGGTTACAGTTGAACTAATCGATGGAACTTTCATTCATTTAATATCTGAATTTTCTCAAACAATTTGTTCGTAGTGAAAGGGCGAGCAAAGTTTTAATTTCAATTCTACAACAAATATACGCTCTCGGTGAGTCTTTTCAAGTCCGTTCAATTTGGACATTTGTACCATAAATTGTACAACAGAAACTGAAGGAATTCAATGAGAAAAGGCCGCATTAAACCCCCTTGTGTCTCGTTGGAGTGTATCATTCGAATTTAGTTTTTGTGGAGGAAAGACCAGATTTTCACACGCAATTGCAGCAAACGAACGATCAAATGCTGAAAATGCTGCCCGAGGCCGTAGGCCGAGGACAGCATTTTCAAGGCCGAGCCCTCTAAAAAAAATATATATTTATATAATAAGCCCAGTTATGCACGCGTTTTGATTGGTTCTCACTTATGATCTATTGGAGGATAGACGTATAGATGACGTCATCATTAAAACTTTTTCAAATTCTTTATTATATGAAACAAATAGATTCCAAGTTGCCGTGCGTCTGTTCAGTAATAGATCACAGAGGACGTCAAAATGTGGTAAGAACATCAGTGACACACTCGGCTGCGCCTCGTGTGCCACTTTTTTGTTCTTACCACATTTTGACGTCATCTGTGATCTATTACTGAACAGACGCACGGCAACTTGGAATCTATTTGTTAAATATATATATATATATATATGTTTAGTTTTCACTAAACGGACCTCCTAGCCGGCAAATAACATATACATACTCAGAGTCTAAGGCAGATAATTGTTTTAGTAAAATTGTTCAGTTGCTTTCAAATTCTGTTTTAAAAATCGTTTTGTTTTTGAAACCATTCCGTTAAAATTGTTACGATTACTCGTATCGAGATAAGCAGCCAGTTTCCACTAGAATTTAACAGGTTACTCGATTAAATCAGCAAAAACTTCATATCTTTCTTTTGAAAAGTGTTACCCCAAACTGAATAGCACCTTTTGTGCTCTTTAGAGTTGAATATTCTTCCATGGCGTTCATCACTCTTTGTGTACCATTGACAAAACGCAAAGCAGCCATTTTGAAATTTAGCACCCCAGCTGTAATCGTCTCGCGCGAGATGATTATAGCGAGATATGGCGCAATTCTCGACCAATCAGAGCGCGCGCATCTCTATAATCACCGGAGCACTAAATCAATTTTACTTCTTGCTTTATGGTGATGTTAATCAGAACTGCGAGTGTGACCTCTCTGTCATGACTTGACCATTATGCCTGTGTCAGGAGAGAATCATGGCAAGAGAGAGTGAGGGGGAGTTGATTTTTCTCTCTTAAACTGGTGGTGAAATGTCACAGGAAAGTAATGGCACCTTAACTGAAGAAAAATACCCTTGGAATTAACGCCTGTTGGCTGGTTCAATATTTAGGAGCCTCACAACACCATAAAGTGAATGAAGAAGATATTCGATGATGATCAAAAAAGATTTGAAATATTGTGACGTTTTTCATAGGTCAAACTGGAACTCTTAAAGGCGAAATAGAGTCTCAAATCTCTGGGGGAAAAGCCTTGCAGCTCATTCTGCCCGCGGGACCTGGGCTTGGTGCAGTGGATGAACTGACCAATATTCAAGTCAATGTTACCTCCAACTTTTCAAGGGTGTCTCTGATCAGTATGCTCGCTCCATCCCCCGATTGGTTCATAGGAATTGACAGCCATGATCTCTGTGACAATGGCCAATGGCGAAAGACCTGGGACGTCACCATGTTACCACCGTATGATTCAGGCACTGATAGCGAGCCTACGTTTATTGGCGATAAACCAACAGTGCCACCTGTGCCAATCTTCCGAATCAATAACACCATTGAGGGTGCTTTTAAGGCCAATAATCCCATTAAAAGCCTGGGGGAGTTTCGATTCATGCTTCAAGTGGAGACGGACAACTCCGGGAAGGAGAACTCGACCGGGAAGGAGAACCCGACCGAGAAGGAGAGCTCGACCGAGAAGGAGAACTCGACCGAGAAGGAGAACTCGACCGAGAAGGAGAACTCGACCGAGAAGGAGAACTCGGCCGGCAAGGATTGTGTTAATTCGCTTATGATCATTATTGTTGCTTCCATTCTGGCATTTTTGTTTTTGGGTGCCAAATAATTTAGCTTTAATAAAAATAAGTTTTTTTTTTCGCATCTTAGTGGAGTGGGGTTTTTGGCCTATTTCCTAGAGAGCTGAATAGAAAACGAATAAACAAATGCGATTCATTTTCTTGAGTCGCAGATTCCATTCACTGTGAAAAGTTGGGGCTGGTCAGCTGTAAAGAGTTTCAACTGTGGTTTCTTTTGGAAAACGTTGCAAGTTTCACTCCCCTTCGATCTTCCTCCATGCTTGTCACCACATTTAAGTGAAAATTTTCACAGATTTTTCAAGCACGCACAACCCATTTATCATTTAAACTATCAATAACGAATCTTGCATGAACTGACATAAACCTGGTATGATAAATATTTCGGAGAGTTTTTTTTTTTTTGTTACAGTCTAATGAGAGAGATGCTAGAATATCGTCTTAGAGTCGAAGTAATCTTGAACAGCGGTTCTCCCCGCCACCTTCCCCACCCCTTTCTCAATTTTGGTATTAGAATATAACAGTTTCCTAAAACCTTCCCTGCAGGGGAAGTGACGTTGGAATTTTCGTGTGAAGGCAGCCATCTACGTTACGAGCCATAATTTGGTTTTATCAACTGAGTTGATAACTGAATGTAAATTGGCCACTGTAAAGAGTTTCTTAAACTGATTTTCCGAGCGCAAGCCCTTCGTCAGAGCGAAACATCACCACGGTTTCTTTATAAACTTATCCCCCTCATTATTTTTTCGAATTACCAACAGATGTGTAAATAACAAATAACTGACTAGTATTACACTAAGGCTACAAAGAAATGTTTCCTGGTGTCATTACTACAGTCAGTGTTATTTTTTTTACCGGTCGGGGTTGTTTTGTTTTTAGTCATTAATCATCAGCGGAATCACTAGACCAATAAATGCGTTATTTATCTTCTCATATTTATTCGCCCTCAATTTTTTTCAGGCCTTATTTTCACTACTGCCTAAGTAGTGCAAATTACTGCGAGGATCACTTTCATTCACGTCTTTATCCGCAGTTCAAATATATGACTTTCATATATTCTTAACCATTTATTCAATCACTTCACGGGTTTATTTAGAACCAACTTCATAACCAGCTCCCGGTTGGCTTGTTAGCTCAGTTGGTAGAGCGCTGCACCGGTATCGCAGAGGTCATGGGTTCAAATCCCGTACAGGCCTGAATTTTTTTCAGGCCTTATTTTCACTACTGCCTAAGTAGTGCAAATTACTGCGAGGATCACTTTCATTCACGTCTTTATCCGCAGTTCAAATATATGACTTTCATATATTCTTAACCAAATGCGTTATTGTCTGAATTGTGAGGTCAAAATAGCCGGAGATTGGCCGAGTCTTTGTGTGTGTTTGTGTTGTTATGGATCGAGACGAAGTTGAGGTTCTTAACAAAACAAAACAAAAGCATTAGCTGATGACATTTTGATATCAGGCATTAATTCATTTATCTTCTCATATTTATTCGCCCTCATCTGGCGTAGTTTAGGTCTAGTGACATTTCTGACATACGCACGGATTTTGACACTCTCGCGCAGCTCGGAATGTTAGGAATGCTAGGATAATATCCTAGCATTTCTAAAAAGTACTTACAGTTGAGGCCGCTTGCGTCCCCTCATGCTTGATAACAAGCGCCGGGGGCGCGAGTTTGATGGAGGATCTGGGGCCATCCTCCCCCAGAGAAGCTTGAAATCTAGAGACCCGAAAATCAGTGGTGTTTTCAACAATCTCCGTGAGGTAATTTGTCGAAAAGATTCCGACAGATTTTATATATTTAAGATTGTGGTTCTATTACATTCATCGTCTTCTTTTAATTTCTTTTTTATTCTTCATGCGTGCCTCATGCTAAAAAATATTTAATTATCGTCCTCAAATGCATACAAGCAAAAGACACATATACATAATTTTGTTAGATCATCCAAGCTTCAGTTAAAAAATTTGGCCTGTTCCAGGTATTCAGCTCGTGGGGACAAATGGAAGGCAGAGTGATTGAAGAAAAAAGCTACTTTCCAAGACCTCCACCGGTCATATTCCGTCTCCAGTGAGGGAGGGAAAGGCACGGACCATTAAATCTCAGAAATCAAAATTGTCTTTTTGAGGTCTAAAAACTAAAAACCTGGAAACTGTTTATTTGGAGTACAACGCATGCAGTTTGGTTCACTGCGGCGCGGTAGCACATTCTACATTACATGAACGTGATTCATGTTACTTATCTGAGATGCAGAGTAGCGAAATAAGTGAAGCCAAAGAGTATTAGCCAAAAAAATCATTTTTCCTCAGCCCTTGTGCCGAGCGCAAGATCGTACATATATTAATCTGAATCGACGGTAACCAGCCAGAACGGACCTTAACGGTCCGAATCTGAAAAACTCTCCCCAGTCTAGCTCAGTCTTGTGTCTATGGTTTCTCTTAGCAGAAGTATGGCGAACTCAACCGTCCTTCTTGTGCGCTCTTTGATTTCCCCGAGGCTATTACGAAGCCGTTTTCAAAGCCTTCGTCTATCTGAAAGAATCGTTCAATTGCAAAAACGATCTTATTCAAATGTCTTCACGCGAATTGAACAGGCGCCTCACTCATCTTATTTGAGTGGCGCGCTTTGTTGCAGTTTCCGTTCGTCCGCAGGCATTGTGAAGAGCGATCACACAGTTGATGTACCAGAGATATCCCTCAGTGATTTCGTGCTCAACAAGTTCAAAGAATATGGAGACGATACTGCAGTGGTAAGTAACCACGATGTTTCTTTTTTACTTTTTGTAGGGTAAATATCGAGTGATACGCGATAACATCAGCTCTTTGATTTGTTTGCAGTCAGCGTGATGAATTGTTCCACGAACCTTCTGGAATGAACTCGAGCGAACAGTATGCCAGACAAAGCGTTTTTAGGCCAGTGTATTCTATATTAATGAGGCAACAGGAAAGCTTCAAAAGCGTCTTATAAACCAAATTATTGAGCTGAGCAGCACCGGAATACACTTCCGTGTTTTATTTAGGGAACTTTGGAACGTGTTCTAGACGATCAATTTTGTACTTAGCGAAGTGAAAACAGAGGAACAATCATAGAGTTTACATTCATATCTGCATATTCATTTCTGTCGACGTAAATAATGATAATTGGTTAGATCTATGTACAGACTACTGGAATGTTTACTCGTGTATGAAAACAACTTATTGTTTTAAAGTGGTCACGCTTTAGTAAATCCAAAACGAAATTGGTAAACTAAATAGTAAAGGCAATTTAAAGACAATAAAATGAAAATACAGACTTAAATGCATACGGAAATATCGTTTAAAAACGTCTAAGATCAGTAAATATTTTATGGCAAACTGTCCTAAGTTTGTGGTAACGTTGTCACGAAGTCTAGGTTTTGTAAGATTTCGTGACATAGCGAGGACGTGTGGTCCTGGAGGTATTCCAAAATTTACAAAAAGTTTACTTAAATTTGAGTCCAGCCTGAGACGAATTGGGTTGCTTGTATTCTTAAATTTTGAACCTCTTTTTAGATAGATGGAGCCTCAGAGAAATCCTACACTTACAGTGAACTCTGTACATCAGTGAAAAAGTTTGCTTCAGCACTAACAAGAAGGGGTTTTCAGAAAGGAGATGTTTTTGCTCTCTACCTTCCAAATGTGCCAGAGTATCCTGTTTCATTTTTCGGAGTTATCGCTGCTGGTGGTACAGTTACAACTTTAAATCCTACTTTCACTGAAAAGGAGATTGCTTACCAGCTTAAGAACTCTGCTGCCAAATATATTCTGACTGTGCCTGAGATTGCAGACAGAGCTAGACAAGCTGCAACAGAGGTAGGAATTAAGGAAGTGTTTGTTATTGGTGAAGCAGAGGGGTGTGAACCATGGGCATCTCTTCTCAGTGATGATGGAATGGCCTTTCCAGACAATGTTGCAATTAATCCAAAAGAAGATATCTGTGCTATGCCGTACTCTAGTGGTACCACAGGTTTCCCTAAAGGAGTTATGCTCACACATCACAACATAGTCTCACAGTTGTGTATTATCATGCATGAGAATTTTATGCCTCAACCACGGCGAGGAACTACCCTTGGACTTCTGCCATTTTTCCACATATTTGGCATGGTGGTGGTAATGTCACAATATCTTTACCGTGGAGGGAAACTTGTCTGCATGCAGAAATTTGAGGGAGAGCACATGCTAAAGCTTGTACAAGATTGCAAGGTTTGTTTCTGAATTCTCAGAGCTGTGACAGCTAATGGACTAATTATAAGTACATCAAGGCATGCATGCTTGAGTCCTAGTTAGCTTGACAATTTTAACCTTTGTTGAATCAAAGCAAAATCAATTTTCTTTGTACTTCCACAGTACATTTACTTTTAATTAGAAATCTAGCACTTTTACCCTCACTTACATTTTACTGCGTCAACTCTTTTTTCAAAATGTTTCATTTTCACCCGATGTTGTTAACCCTTTAACCCCTTCGACTGAGTAGCATCTAGTTTCTCCTTACAATATCACCCCTGAATTAAATACTAAGGTCATGAGAATAAGGGAAATGATCACCAACTAAATAAGCTCTGCCAGGGTGGGGCAGGAATGTTGAAACTTCAAATTAATTGATGCATAAGTTCAATTTTTGGTTTATCATCTCAACATAAGCAATGCTTAAACCCCTCAATTTTCTTAAATTTATATTCTAGATACATGTTTTGTTTCTTGTGCCGCCAATTGTTACATTCTTGGCCAAGCATCCATTGGTGGATAACTATGACCTAACCAGTGTTGATACCATCATAAGCGGTGCTGCACCTCTAGGAGCAGAACTTACCAATGCTGTTTGGAAACGTCTTCCAAAAGTGGTGGCCATTGGTCAAGGTGAGAAATATTGTTTAGATGAACTTCAGTTCTTGACATGATAATTCAAAGTTCAGTTTTGTTAATGATAATGTTTGTGTCTTATGAAATTATTTTCATTGTAACATACAGTCTAGAAAGGTTCTAGATGTTTTAAAAGGTGGTAAAGTGTTTTTCTCCCTACTTGGGTTGCTTTAGATGTAATTGCAATAGTGCTGTCTTAGCTGAAAGCAAAGGAAAAAAAGGAAAAAGCCAAAAGCAAATTAATCCACATATAAAACTACCCTCTGGCTATATGCCTAACAGCTGAACAATTTTTGTAGAAGTTCAAGCAAATAATACTTTCAAACTTCATTAGAGTACCAGAGATTTCAAGCAACTCAAAAACTTGAAAAAGAAATATTTCTTATCTCTGCTAATGAGGTTTTATTATATGCTATATGCTAATTAATTTAAATTTGACTTTTCTCTGTTTTCAATTTTTAATTTTTTTCTATGCAGTTTTTCTGTGCAGTTAGGTATAAATTTAAGATACCTGTTAGTCAGTTTGTTTGGTTATGAGATATCTTCAGAATCAGTTAAATTTTTTTGTCTATTTTATTCATAATGATTTTAACCCTTTAAGTCCCAAGATCTGATTGTTAACTCTCCTCTCTACTTGTTGCAAATGTCCTTGTAAGTTAGTCATGAGAATTTGGTGATAGATCAAGATAACCACTTTTACCTGATAAGTTTGAGTATTCTCATCATCTGTTTGCTCCATAATGCATGAATATTAAAGGGAGAAGTTACATGTTTATCACTTCTGGGAGTGAAAGGGTTAAGTCTCACATTTAGTTTTCTGTATTATTAGTGAGATGCAGTCAGTCCATGTTTATAACTTGAATAAAATTATGACACCAATTGTTATTAAAAAAGGAAAGTTATTTCAAAATCTTTTCAGACTAAACATTATGTGACTTGTTTTTTTTTTTCTATGATAACTGTAAGTATAACTGCTTTGAAACCCACTGTCCCACTTTTCTGGGTCCACCTCTGATTTAATTAGCTTGTTTGATCAAACCATTTTAGGATATGGTCTAACAGAAACAAGCCCAGCTGTAATGCTTTGTCCAAGAAAAAATTGCAAGCCTGGTGCTGTGGGTGTTATGCTACCAAACATTGAAGGGAAAGTAAGTGGAAATGGTAATATTGCATACTGCTGTAGTCCTCACCAGGCACTCTTGTCAATGATCACCTTGAAAAAGTGTTATGAGTATTATTTCAAAGCAGGTTACTTTCTCAGTCAGAATTCAAGATTGCTGGTAGAAACTTTGATCTAATTTGTTTCTCGACATCAGCACCTCCCTAAAAACTTTTACAAACCCAAAAAGTGCTCTTACACTCTTAATCTCAAGGTTCTACAATATTCTTAACACACTAATTACACTTACATTACTAACTTGGAACTAAATTTTATTTAGTTTCTTGATACTGTTAGTTGTCCTAGACAATTAAAACAAGTAATTGCAAAGATCTAGAATAATCTAACAAGTCAAGTCATTAACAGAAAGATTACACTCCGAAATGAGTAGTTGGTTTTCAATAGCAGCAAATTAGATCAGCTAGGGTCAAATACATCATACAATCTGTCTTTTCATACTTAGGTGGTTGATGTCCAGACAGGCCAACCTCTCGGCCCAAATAAAGATGGAGAGGTCTGCATCAGAGGACCTGTTGTTATGAAAGGTTGCAAAGCAAATAGAGATTTAAGTCAGAGTGTCTGTGTGTTTTCATAGTCTACAATTAAAATTCTTTTCATAAGAGATACCTGATCAAGGTTTAATTCTTAACATTATTTATGCCTTCTGAAATATCTTCCTTAACCTTTGACTCCCTAACATCAGTGTGCATATTCTCCATACTGCTCTCTATACATTTCTTAAAGTGCTGACAAGGAGAATTTGTTTTAAAATCAAAAGCTTCTTTAGCTTGGTGATCATTTCCTTTATTCTCATGACCTTAATGTTTAATTCTAGGCTGATATTGTAAGGAGAAATTATATGCTAGTCACTCTTAATGGCAAAGGGTTATTTCTAAGTTAAGGTGATTCTTGAATGTTTAATATGGCATTTGGGGCAGGTAAAAGGTACTGAGGCATGCATGCCATATGCTCTGACATTGCCAGGTTCTAATCCTTTATCTCCTAAGAGTGACAGGCCTCTAATTTCTCCCTACAGTTTCCCTGTTGGATCACATATTAAGGTCATGAGAACAAAGGAAATGATCACCAACTAAAGATGCTCTCATTTGTTAAGCAAATTCTCCTTGTCTGCACCCAAGGAAATGTATAGAGAACAGTATGGAGAATATGCATACTGATGTTAAGGTGTAAAGGTTAAAGCCCTTCAAGGTCTTTGCTTGGACAGCTGTTAGCAATTTTCACTTTTCCATTTTCATCAATAGGCTACTTGAATAACCCCAAAGCTACGGAAGAGTGTATAACTCCTGATGGATGGTTCCATACTGGAGACATTGGTTACTATGATGAAGAAGGCAATTTTTTCATTGTAGACAGACTCAAGGAGCTCATAAAATACAAAGGATTTCAGGTAACCTTTAGCATGGGAACTACAGATAAGTTAATGATTTGTTTGTTAAAGTAATTACTCAACTTCTCTGTCGATTGACTGTGAATATATGAAAAACATATTTGGTGAACTGCGGATAAAGATGTGAATATGAAAGCGACCCTTGTAGTAACAAACACTACTTGAGCAGTAGTGAAAATAAGGCTTGAAAAAAATTCAGAGATCATGGGTTCAAACCCTGTACAGGCCTTAATTTTTTTCAGGCCTTATTTTCACTACTGCTCAAGTAGTGTTCATTACTGTGAAGATCGCTTTTGTATTGACTTCTTCACTCAGAAAGAGTCCAACCTAAAGCCCAGCTTGGAAGCAGGGAGGGAAGTAAAGGGGGTGGAGGGGTTACTCCTTCATGGGGGCTTAACAGAACTGTTTTCTTAATTAAATCTAAGAAGTAAAATATTCCCTATAGGATCAGACATACATTTAGTTTGTCTGGTTACACAACAGACCTGTCTACTTTTCTTGTTTGTAGGTTCCCCCAGCAGAACTGGAAGCACTCCTTCACACACATCCAAATGTACTAGATGTTGCTGTGGTGGGAATTCCTGATGAGGGAGCAGGGGAACTCCCTAAGGCATTTGTTGTCCCAAAAGGAGAAATAACTGAGGGAGAAATCATCGAATTTGTTGCACAGAGAGTTTCTCCCCACAAGAAACTTAGGGGTGGTGTGGAGTTTATTGAGCAGATTCCCAAGACAGCCAGTGGGAAAATATTGAAACGGGAATTGAAAAAATGATGATGTTAATTGGATTATTGTCAATTTGATAGTTATGATATTAAAATTAGGTGCGAATGATACTTGTTTGTATGAGCTGTAGATAATTTTCAACGTAAAGTTTATCTCAAGTAATATTATTTTCTAGCCCAACATTTGGATTAATGGACTACAAGTAGGCAAATTTATCTTGCACTGTAATTACCTAGGTAACACCCCATAAAGGAAAAATGGGCCAGTTTGTGAAAGGATTATACTGTATAACCCAGTGGTTTCTGACAAATACATGTATTTCTCTGGGATAACAAAATAGTCGGAAACTGCCTCAAAATACAATCTTTTTCTAGAGTATTGTAATTGAAAGTACTTGTATTTCTTCAGAATAACAAAATAATAGGAAACTGCCCAATAATAGAATTTTTTTAGATTGTTGTAATTAAAATGTTTTGCAAGATTTCATTCGGAGAGAATTGCAAAAAAGGGCTTAAGTGCTTTATTGTCTAGCATTGTTGATGCTGAAGGAAAATAAAATAAATTAGTACTGTAAAAGCTGTTGCTGAGTGTTATGCAGTTCATCAAACCAATAATAATGATAAACTTGAAATCGAAAACTCAACCCATTTATTCGCAGCGATTCCAGCAATGTAAGGTAGGTTTTCTATAATAAGAAAATTACTCTTTAGTAGTGAAATTACAGTTCACATGAAATGCGATAAAACTCACTGACTGTTTTGAATTCAGAGTGTCCAACATAAACAACTATTTCAGTCAACAAGTATGTCTGCACAAACACAACTAGTTTTTTCTTCGACAAAGCACATGGTTGATATCATGAATGTTAACATGATGTAGGCACACAATGGGAGTTCTACTGAGATACCACAATTTTCCTGATTGGTCAATAACCAATAATTTAATGTACTGCTGAGCCCATGGATATTGTTTTGTTTTATTATAAGTTTTGTTTCATAAAAGCAACAGACCACACTTACTATGGGCTTGCAGGCCCAACAGCCTTTGCGGGATGATGCAAGAACTCTTAGAAAGTTTGTAAATCACTTGCCTCCAACTGGTGATTTACAAAAATTTTCATGTGTCCTCCCAACCTCCCATGAGGGTTATCATGGCGGCAAACCCATTGTAATTGTGGTCTATTTCTTAACTCTTTGACCCCTGAAAGTGATACATGTATAATTTCTCCTGATATTTTCACTCCTAAATCAAGCATTAAGGTCATGAGAATTAGAAGAGATATCTGCAAGATTAAAAAAACCTCAGTTATTGGGCAAATTCTCTTTGTAAGTACCATAGGAAATGTATTGCAGAGAAGTTACAAATGGAGGTTAGGATGGAAATGGTTATTTTTTAGTAAGCTATGACAGTGTATGTAATGTATGTTTTCATTCCTTTTTAATTTGTTGCATGATAAATCTCTTTGACAATACATTCAGCTAAGACACATTTAGCCAAAATCAGGGAATAGTTGTACACCATTTATTTTGATATACTTGTAGTTATAATTACGACCATACTTTTGTAAGGAAAGCATAACTTAATTATGATTACAAAAGCTGTACTTGGAGATTTGTTACTTGTGCTGCTCACACAAAATGCAGTATACACAACATCATCGTAAAGTAAACCCATCAACTCCCAGAAGTGACAAGCAGCAACTTCTCTCTAAAGTAATCACATATTATCCAGCATATAGGCTATAAGAATACTCTAACTTATCAGGGAGAAATTATCTTGGTCTTTCACCAAATTCTTGTTACTTGCTTGAGGGGAGAAGTAACAATCTTATCTTGGGAATAAAATGGTTAAACATGTAGTCTGCTTAATGGTGGAGATGAGTCCTGAGAAAGGTTGAAAGTTATCAAGATCAAAATATGGTGAAGGTTGCCTTTGTTCCAATTAGAAGCATAACAGGGAAGGACTACATTGAAAAGGGAATCTGAAAGCAGAGAGAGGGCAGAAAATGCTCTCATTTCTTCAAGTGGACCATGAGTGTCATTCCCTCATGACTTGGGGGGGGGGGGGGGGGTGGTTAAGATAGGTCTAACCAGACAACTTGAATCATGCCAGCCAGGAAATCAAACTATGTAGTTTAAATTTCGAAATTTGAAGCTTTCTGTAACATTTATTTAACTTAGTTTTCTGAATAATCCTTCAAGGTGCTCTCATCTAAATGAGTGTTCAGTTTCTTGAAATTTCGTTTCCGATTTGCTTTCCTCTTCTGTTGTGTCTGTTGTGGCCTTCTGATTCCAGAGTCCTGCATTGTTGTGATCCCAGCTTTAATAAGATACTTTTCAATGTCATTTTCACCAATCCCTTCCACTGAGACTCCTCGCCAGTGCTTCTGGAATTCCTCATCAACTTTAAGTTGATGTTGGTCATTCTTAAAGAAGAGGATAACCTTTTTGTCAGTTGAGCGCGTAATGAACATGATCCGACGTCCAACTGATTTTATGACTTCATCAGCGTCCGGCAAACTTTCCCGTATGTCATCAAGAAGAATTCCGCCTAAACCCGAATCTTCGTGCCGCTCTAGAAGCCTCAGAAGCTGTTTTTTGTCCTTTATGTGATACTTCGGTTTGAAGACAAACTTACCATCTTTATGAATGAGTTTAGAGTTTTCTTTCAAAGCTTCATTGCCCAACCAAGCTTTGTCACCTTGGTTGATGTCAGTGTATTTAATTTGATCGAGTATCTCATCCAAACTCAACGGATCAAACTCTCTTTGAAGATGACGCCGTTTCATGAAGTCCACGATAGCCGCAAGCACAGCAAACTTGTGCTTGCTTCTAAAAGCATGTGTTTTATAATCAGGAGAAGGGCTGACCGGTTTCTTTGGCTGTAACAATTCCTTTGGCAAATAACTACTCTTTGGGACTTTCGGTTTTGACTTGTGTTCTCCACCTGATGGTTTCGATTTTTTCGATTCGACAGTCGGTTGTTTCATACTTCTAGCTTTGAAGGATTTATACTCCTTCATGAGGGAAGAATCCATGGTTTACTGATTGATTATCCTGAGTGAATAACGGGATTTCCAACTAATTTATATATCTTATATGACCAGTAGAGTACCGACAACACTTCTCGTCGGATTTCACTCAAGAGAGACAGGTCGAGAGCGTTTTGCTTGGTAACCGTGCCTAATCTCCGACAGTTTCCGAAGTTTTCCGGTATATTCCGAAATTTTATTGAATTACGAACAAAGCACTCGGGGTTTCTATTTGGCGCGAAATTCGCTTTTGCGAAGAAAGATTCCTAATTGTACCAAAGACATTCAAAATGCCAGGAGCTGTCGACGTGTTACAGGTTAGATAGCCTAAATTTTTTTATTTTTTTGAATTCCATGAATAAACATTTAACCAGTTTTCGCACGAAATGGCACAGCGATTTGCAAACGACGACTTGTTTGACGCGGAGCTCGGAGAAGATAGTGATGGCGGACGAGATGGAAATTTTTCAGACAACGAAAGTGCTCCAAAATCTCCCGCACTCGATCGCATCGACAGCAAAGAAAAAGATAATTCGGAAGAAGAAGCTGCAAACAGTGATTCTGGGGAGGAAAATACATCTGAAAAGGAGAAGAATCATCGAAGACGAGAATCTAGAAAGAAGGTAATTGAGTTGAATTTATAAGCAAACTTGTTTGTTAGCCTTTTTAAACTTCGCGAAGGATCTGTGAACTTTAAGTAGGTCGATGAAAAAAGGCAACTTGTACAGCCGATACTAATTAATGCGTACCTTCTACCTAGCTGAGATGTAATCAAATAGAAATAAAATACTTGATAACAAATTATTACAAATTGCATATGTTAATTGGACTCGAAGGACTTCTGTGTGTAAAAATATTTAAAGTCTGAGTCTCCACCATAAATGAAACTGCAGCTCCCTTTTTCCATTTTGATGTCCTTTATGAAATTTTTAAATAAATAACGTATCAGTTGGAGGGTCTCAGGATTAATAATACTCTATGGAATTGCAGCTCATCAATATGGTCAGTCCAGCCGTGGAAATGCTACCCCATCTAGCGACACATTCCTCATTAGCCTATTGCTAGGATGTACCCCTGGGGATTATAGAACAAGGATTTACAACAACTGGTCTACTTACATCAAAATCTAAATTAAAAAAAAATTGTGATCGATTGTCAGAATCTAACTACAATAAAACACTACAAAATCTTTTCTTTTTTTCATGAGGGTAAGATTTCTTCAAATAAAACAGTCAGGTTAAGTTTGCTAGAAAATTTTAGCCCACATACACTTTAGAAGAACTAATGTTATGACAAGGATTTAATCAGTTTTCATGTTATTTTTAACAGTCAAGCAGGCCTCGCAAGGCAAAGAAGGCAGAGCTTATGTCAATGCACAGTGAAACACAGAGAATGGTCAGAGGTTTGTGTGTATTTTTGATTGTTTATTGCTGCATTAATATTTCAACCCTTCACACCCTAGCATCAGCATGCATATTCTCCATACTGACCCGGTCCCTCATATTCTCCATACTGACCCGGTCCCTCATATTCTCCATACTGACCTGGTCCCTCATATTCTCCATACTGACCCAGTCCCTCATATTCTCCATACTGACCCGGTCCCTCATATTCTCCATACTGACCCAGTCCCTATACATTTCATAAGGTGTTGACAAGGAGAATTTGTATAAAAATCAAGAGCTTCTTTAGTTGGAGATCATTTCCTCTATTGAATTCTCCTGACCTTCATGATGCTTGATTCAGGGGTGATATTGTAATGAGAAATATGATGCTAGTCACTCTCAAGGGTCACAAGCTCTTAAAAATGCATATAAATTGGTTGCAACACATGTATTATCTACTACTTAAAGTGCCTATGACAAAAATTTTTGTTTTGCATTTTCTGGTTGATAGCTAAGTTTCTTACATCTTTTAAATTTCATATGATATTTTTTTACTTTTTAGAATCAATAGTGAAGCTGCCATACCATATGCCAGCTGTACTTCCTATAACACATTTTCTGAAAAGGGTGCCACTAACAGATCAAAAGAAGTCTGACAGGTACTATGAAGCATGCCTGTAATTTAATCTTTATCTTGCATGAATTTATTATTAGAGAAAGACCCTTGTAAGTTATGGAAGAATGGAAGAGAGAGGGAAAGGCTGATAGGATTTTACCAACACATTCCCTATAAAATGGAAATCAAATGAAAAAATATTTGTCTTAAGATAATTAAATCATTAGGGGAAAAGAAATCTGTTAATAAGAGTGACAGGATTCTGAGGTTTAACACGTCCTGGAGAACCTGGAAAGTCCTGGAATTTTATTTTGACACTTGCCAGGACTGAAGAGTCCTGGAAATTCCTGGAAATTCCTGGAAATTCCTGAAAATCTCCTTTACTCAAGTAATAAAGTTTTCAGAATTAATATTGAAGAAATGTCTGTAAACCATAAGGGGAATTGATTTTGAAATCTTGAGAATAGGTGAGTTAAAGGTGAAATTTAGAGTCCTCGAAAATCAATCCAAGTCCTGGAAAAGTCTCTGAAATTTGTTTCTGAAAAAGGGTATAATCCTTGGTATTCATGCAAACTCCTCTTTTCCTTGGAAGTTGTGCTAGTCTATCATAATGAGCTCTGTCATGTATTGCAATCCCAGCATTTTTGTCAGGTGTTTGTCACAAGTCAGTTTTTATTCCCTAGACAGGAGATGCATCTTGAATTTTCCTTGTTATCATGGCAAACAAACACTCAAAATGATATTATCAGATCTGGGTGACATGATTAGTTTCAGTGTGCAACTCCTCCAAGAAAGTAATGTAACATAATAGAGAATTTATTGTCATCAAAATCCTTCCCTTCTTTCTATCAGCCCTAGGGTTATTTCTTCAGGAATTCCACCTGAAAATCAAACATCACCCGTTGGTAATGGTAAGCCTGCTGACCAAGAGCTTGCTAGTCCCTTGATTGCTGACACTGCCAGTCCCACAGCTGCTGTTGATGCAGTTAAGGTGATGTCTAAGGCAGCAACACCAAAGCTGAGTGCTGCTACAGATCCATTCTTCTTGGACTTGGATGTCACCCCACCTGTGGCAAAGCCAATAAGTAGTGGAGTGCAGAGTTTAAAAGAAAGGTAGTAGTTGATTGGAACCAAAAAATGCTTTTACAAGAGTGAGCCCTTATGAAAGTTTCAGTTTTTTCTCCTTTTCACTTTTCATTTATTTTTTTTTTTGCTGTTGGTAATAGATGTGATATTTTACCTCATACAATTTGTCCAGTAGTCTGAATGCTAACATTATTTGCTGTGGAAAACACTGAAATGAGAAGTTTTTTTGCCACATTTGTATTAAAAAAATACATTGCAAAAACTGGGCTTCATTTCTGTAACACTTGAGAATAATGTTACAGTGTACAAGTGTTGTTTGCTTCATTTACCTGTTCTCATTTAATACCATTTAATAATTTTTTTACAGATTTTTGAAGCACACCTTAAAGCCTCAAGATAAATCAACAACTGCAAAGAAACTCACAGAGAGAAAAGATCCCCCAATGGAGGAGGTCTCTTTAGAAGAAACACCCAAACCCAAGGGGGTAAACCCAATCCTTTGTAATGAGAAACTCATGACTGCTAAGACACCTGGTGAGTCTTGTATGTGCTACTTTTGTTATACTGGACATAGTACATAGTATTTTGGTGAATTTGCTTAATAGCTTAAAATTACAGAAAATGTTTATTAGTAAAACAACTTCATAAAAGTGAAGTAAAAAATCCAAGGTCAGGCATCAAAATGGAATATTAAATGTGGTATGAACTAAATTAAATGCTGCTGCATTTATTAAAGTTTAGTGTTTCTTCGTACATGTACATATGTGGCATTATTTATGGGCAACAGTTAAGCTCTTATGTCTCATTTTTTTTCGTTGAGATAGAATCAATTGAATACAATATAGCAGTTTGATGGTGCAAAGGAACTGATGGATCTACATTTACTGCCAAGTAAATCAAGGATCAATTTGGCCATGTAGCCTCTTGTTGAGATTTTAAATAATATACTTCAATTGTTTTGCCGCAGGTTCTAGGCTTCAACTTCTGAAGGAACAATTACAAAAAGAAATGAGAGTAAAACGAGCAGAAAATAGGCAAATACAAGAATCTCAAAGGAAGTTAGACAATGAAGAAATGAGTGAGGAAGAAGAAGAGGAAGAAGAAATGACAGATGAAGAAGGTGGATGTACAACCTACATGGCCTACATTACAATTTAATCCTTTAACTCCCAGATCAGATTTGTCATTCTCCTTACTTTCAACCATACAATTCCTCTAATGTTAGTTCAGAGAAGTTGGTATTGGATCAACTAATTATCCCCAAATTGATATTTTTCTGTATTCTCATCACTTATCTGATTGATATTGTAAGGAGAAATTCTGTCTTGGTCACTCATGGGAGCTAAAGGGTTAAATTTATTCTAGGCTGGTTAGATTGCTATGTAATGTTAGATCTGTATTAGCCCAGAAATCTTGTACTGTGATGCGTCAAGATTCCAAGATACAGTTAACAATTCCCCCTTCTCACATTTTGATTACAGCTCTTAAACACCAATTTTCAATATGATGACTTTACTGTTTGCTAAAAATTCTGAGAATTGAGATAAAGAAAGGGAAAGAAAAATGAAATTATATTGCTCTGATAATCACTTGGGGAAGACATTAAATTTCTTTGGTCAGTCCTGGAAGATGTTGAGAAAGAATGCCACTCATTATCTTTGCGCAGATGAATCTGATGATGAACTTGACAAGTGGAATGAAGATGATGAACGAAAGCAAGAGGAAGGCGACAGTGAAGTTGATGGGGAAGATGAAGAAGACAAAAAGGCTAAAAATGACTTTTTAGATGATGAAGCAGATGAAAGTGATAATGATGATGATTTTGATAATGGCAGAGATGACATTGACTCAGGATCTGAGGGAGATGTCAGTGATGATGGTGAAAATGACAACACTGCAGATGAAAACTCTGTTCTTAGTGATAGTGAATTTTCTGTTTTAAAATCTCATCACTCTATGAAAAAGAAACCAAAACAAACAAAAGAATCAACCATTCATCCTAAGGAGGAAACTATGGATCTTTTTGGTTTTGGTGACAGCCGTTCCAGAGGACCGGAAAATGATGGTTCTCTAGAAAATAACAGTAACAGTGAAAAAGGTACTGGAGAGAGTGTGGAAAGCCTTTGTCTGCGGCTAGACAGTTTGGAAGACGGTGATGATACAAATTTCCACTTTCCTAGCTCGCCAGTATTATCTAAGATGAAGGCTAAAAGCAAAAATGTGGCCAATATTTCTGAGGCATCACAGGAGTCCAGCCAGTCAAGTTTTGGGGGAGGGTTAGGTTCAGAGTTTGGTGGGAATGCGAACAGTCTTGAAGCCAGCAGTGACAGTAATGTGATACCCCCTGGACAGGGGGATAATAGAGTCCTTGGAATGGATGAAGACAGAAGTCCAGGAAAGAAAACACCCGAGATATTCTCATCTTTTTCCAGAGTCAGACACCTCATGGGCATGGGAAATTATGGTGATGCACTGTCTGTAAAGAAGGTAATAATTCTGATATACTTTATTTTGCTTTTACTTGGTGTGAAAACAGTGAACTTAGCTCAGATGTGTTTTTACTCTAACAATAGATAGCAAAGGCATGGCTAATTTATGCATTTATATCTCATGCATAAGACCTACAAATTTATTCCATTTGTTTTTCAGTCTGGTAAATTATCTCAGCTCACACTTCCTGTTGAAGATTCCCAGGTAGGTGATACAATTCACATAAACTACTAATGTTGATTCACTGACATTCTCTGTTGAATTTCTCTTACTTTGTGTGGGTACCTGTAATTATCAAATTCTTTATCTACAGAGAGTTCTGTTCTATAGTGTATTCTGGAAAAAATTCAATTTGTGATTGAAAAATTTTGCAAAGTTATTGAGATTTTGATTGAAATTTAAAGTAAAACCAATTTATTTTCAACCAACTTATTTTTCAGGACCTGTTTGATCATGAGAGTGATAGGAATGTTGAAGACAACAACTCTCAGCTACTAAAAACAGGATCAGAGCCCATGTCTAGTGATTTCAACTTTTCTCTTGATGAAGACACACAGTTCACTCAAATACTGAATACTCAGGGGTTAGTCTTACCTTCCTTGGAAGTTCTATGGTTTTGCCTTTTTTCTGACTCTTTCAGATGTACAGGTGTACACAGTGAGTAAGGAAAGTCCTGTCTTGTAATCCTTGGCTAGTTGGTTTTCCACTTGGGCCAGTGGATTCATTCATCATTTGCTTAAAAAGCAAGTCAAAAATTTTCACTTTTCTGTCTGCAACTGAGGAAAAGCCAATGAGCAGACCCTTTGGAAACGTGGAAAAGGTTATAACTTGCCCAAAGGCTAAGCTGAAAAATCAATTTTCTTTCCATCCTTGTGTACATCATTTTGTTTTGGTTCAAAGTTCCATTATTGAATGGCTCTCACGGAAAAATCGCCTTTGGTTTTATGTCCTCTATAAAGGTGCAATAAATTTTGCATGCTTCTTTACATATTGAAGTCTTATCCAAAAAAAATGGTTAGAATTTTTATTTTTTATTTTCCTTATGCTCTTTTGTACTATGTTGATTAACAAATAACCTATGGAGAAATGTCAACTTTTCTGGCTGATATTGATCAATGCATTGCATTGTAAAGACAGAGAAAAGGTACAGAATGGCTTAGAGAGCTACAAATTAAAAGAAAGAGGACATTTTCTGACTTATGATTTGTAAAATAGACCAATGATCCCAAGCACAGGTTTGGATGCCTTTGGAGCCTGAATTTTTCTCCACATGCTTCTTTTCTGCATTGCTAAAGTTAGTCACCTGTGAGATCATGGCTTTGATTTTCAATCCACAGGGCAAGTAAAATGTTTTTATTTGATGGGATTAATACTGAAACTTCTGGGAGATGGAAAATCATCAAGAACTCAACATTTATCTCAGTCTATGTAATCTTGTTATGAATGCAACATACATATAATATGCTTGTAGTTTTTAAGCTGTTTTCCATATTCCCAATAATTTATGTTTTTCTTTCTTTCTGGAGCAAAAAGTTGTCACAATGACTGCTAACAATACATTTGCATCATGTTGTTATTTGCTTGTTTGTTTTTATTTCCATTGTAGCTTCCTGAACTCCAGTAAAAAGAGCCAAGCAAAGACAAAGAAACTTTTTGATGACAAAATCAGTGGGAATACCCAGCCGGCCATGAAGGAGCTGCTTGGGTTGTGTTCTGGAAGATTTAGTGACAACGAAGACGGCCAACCTGTCCATAACACTGAAAGTCAAAAAAATACAAAGGGGCAGAAGCAAAACTCCAAATTTGACACACAAAGCAAGCAACACAACATGAGTGAACTACTGGGGTTATGTTCAGGAAAGTTTAGCGATGATGATAATGATGAGATAGCTGATGATGTGTTAGAAAGGCAAGGAAAGGATTCAGAGCAAAGCAGAGCAGAGGTTGATGAAGAAGAGGGAAAGATTGATGGTGATGAGAGTGACGAGAAACGGGGCAAGGAGAGTGATAATGATGATGATGAAGAGAGCGATCCTGAGGAGATGATTCTTAAAAGAAAGTATGGCAAGACTTATGGGACAGAGAAAAAGTATGTTATTTATTGACATGTTGTCTATTTTTTCTTTTCATCTTTTTTAGCTTTCGCCACACTATTCTTATCATTGACATCTGAGGTGATTTTGATTTAAACCTTTTAACCCTTTAACTCCCAAGATCTCATCAGTAGTTCTCCTTACTGTCTGCCATATAGTTCTTGTGATGTAAGTTTAGAGAATTTGCTATTGCATCAACTAATAATCCCCAAATTGATTTTTTTCTTTATTCTCATCACTCATCTTCTTGAAATTGTAATGATATGGTAAGGAGAAATTCTGTCTTGGTCACTCATGGGAGTTAAAGGGTTTACCTCTTTAATTGACTAGCATCTAATTTCTCCCTACAATATTCCCTGAATCAAACATGAAGGTCACAAGAATATTATAAGGAAATGATCACCAATAAAAGTAGCTCTTGATTCTTAAACAAATTCTCCTTGTCAGCTCCTTAGGAAATGTATAGAGAACAGTATGGAGAATATGCATGCTGATGTTAGGGTATAAAGGGCTAACTGCTCTCCTGTTTGGATACCTATAGGAACGTTTTTGACAAGAGGAATTTTTTGGAGGAGGAAGCTGAGCTGTCGGGCAGTGATGTAGGATCTGATGAAGATGAAGATATTGCCACAGATGATGATGTTTTGGACGAAGAGTCTGGAGGAGAGGATTTACCATCTGATGAAGAACTGCAGAAACAGATTAATAAAGTTCATATGTAAGCGGCATTTATCATCGAATGAACAAATCTGTGGGTTTATTTCTTGTACTTGTGATATTGCGGACCTAGCGGGGCTTGCTAAAAATTTATTTGGGATTTCTTAGCGGTACTCTGAGTATTGCTGTTCCTCGTGGACAATTTTTTTATCTGTCGCTGGTAAACCCCTTCCCCCCTCCTTCCTTCCCCTCTCCCCAGAAATTTGTTGAGTTTTAAGCAAGTTCGCATTCATAGTCTTGGGAAAAGAGGGGCATTGTAGGTGTGAAGTGTTTTGCCTCTAGAATAAAACACCGTAATCCAGCAAAGGTTGAACCCGTGTATCTTGATAAAGGTCTGGAACGCAAGGCCACGGCTCTGCGCCGAGGTACTGACACAGAAGGAGTTCTGCAAAAGAAAAAATTATATACCTTTCTTGCAGGAAATCAATCCACGACCAGGACAACGCGGAACTAAGAGCTGTCAAAGAAATGTTTCTTCCTGATGGCGATCTATACTCAGATGGGCAGGGCCGGACAAGGCACTTCCGATGGAGGGGTATTGATGAGAATTCACAGTTTAATCTGTTCGGTGATAAAGGCTTGTGGGGCGACGAAGAGGGAGAGGCCACTGAACTGAGTACCGAGGAAGAGATACAGAGACGCAAGGAAAGATATGAAAGAGAAACGTTTCTGAGAGAAGAACTGGTAGGGTGAAACTCTCTTTGACCCCTATGCCATAAGATAAAGCAATTTTTTTAATTGAGTAAGAAAAGTCATGCGGGATTGCGTTGGTTTTGCATCACATTGGTATGCCATTGGTCTAGAAAATTGGCGCCATTCTCCGGACCAATCGTTTGTATAGCTGAGAGCAAACGCACCCGGTCACTGGTGTTTTCCCGCGCTTGAGGTCGATTGCATCTTTTGATTGGCTGAGGTGATAGCTTTGGTTTTCTTTTTTTATGTGCGTGTAACGAGCCCATTTCTAGACGCAAACAAGCTTACTAAGTCTTTCAAATTCGTTGGAGTATTTTTGTATTTCTGAATGGTGAAGTAATCGATTTCTTTACTTCTGTTTTATTTTACTTTCAACAGGAAAAAAAGAAAGAGAGTAATATGTTAGATATCGACGAAAACAGCCAAAATATTCTCAATAAAATTAAAGATACGAGCAGTCAATTACCAGAAGGTACGGCCAGGGCTTCTGTTTTCTTTATTGTCGTTTTTTCACCAATTTTCTCGACTTTCGTTCCCAGTTTTCTACGTAACTGTGCTTAATAATTAGGTTTCTTCCTTTTCCCTTTCATCTTTTTTGTGTGTTGTACAGCTCCAGTGAAGCCTCAAGCAATCATACTGAACTACAAAAACAACGTGGCACCAGCGGTAAAGAAAAAAAATGTAAGTGTGCCGAGACGCGGCTCTCTGTTTGTGTGGGTACAACTGAAGGGACTTCTTGTACTTAAGAACTGCTTAAGTAGTGTTCATTACTGCGATGATCACTCTCGGCTTCATTTATTAATCCGCAGTTCAAATGTATTATATTCAGATATTCATAGTCATTTACTCATCACTTCACGGATTTATTAAGAACCAAAATAATGACCAGTTACCAATTAGCTTGTTAGCTGAGTTGGTAGACCACTACACCGGTATCAGAGGTGTCATGGGTTCAAATCCTGTACAGGCCTGAAATTTTTTCCACGCTTTATTTTCACTATTCCTTAAGTGGTGTTTATTATTGCGACGATCTCTCTCATTCTCGTTTATTAATTCGCAGTTCAAATATATGATATTCATATATTCATAGTCGTTCACTAAAGCGACTGTTAATCCACTTCAGTATTCCTACGAACGGTCTGCTTCATGCTCTTCTTCTTGTGAATTCCAAAGTTATAATGGAACGTTTGTCAAGCACTGATTTTTGTCTTCTTTTGCAGTCTTTTAAAGGATCATTTCTGAAGCACAGTAAAACGACTCTGTCAAGACTTTCATCGCTCACATCCAATACACCAAATGCGTCCGCCACAACACGAGGATTTGTGTTCCACACTGTGTCACCTTCTGGCAAGAACGACTCTAATGCAAAGGTATGTGACGTGCCAATAGAGTTTACGAACATCGATGCGACTTAAAATCACGTCAAACTGAATGTTCAAGTTCCACTTTGTCCATTGAGTTTTTCTATCAGTAATCTGTTAAGTTTGTTTGAGAATTTTGCATAACATAGGAGTCTGACCAAAAGCCATATTACGATTGTAACTGTAATAAAAAAATAGTTTCCAGTGAAGCTATAATTTTGACTCAGAGACGTATCTTCCGCATTTTTGCGATATTTGAGAATGGCATATCTTGCGGGAAAAGTGCGGGATTTCACCAGGGACAATTTGAATGAAATAACTCGAAAGAAAAGCCGACATAAATTTTGACAGTTGGTGCAAAATTTTAACAGAATAACCGAAAACGAAAAAAGGGAACGACTTAAATTTTGTCAAATGGTGCAAACAAGCTGTAATTTTTGGTTTCTCTTTCAGAAACTTCAACGCACAAATTCTGCAATAGATTTACCGGCGTCCAAGAAACCACGATTGGACAGGGCCATGAGTGATTCCACCAGTGTTTTCTCCATGTTATAACACCAGGCTGTATTTAAAGATAACTACGGCGGGCCGTAAGTACATGTAACCTCCGCAGCCGGCGGTATTGTACGCGTGTGAAGTGCATCCGGTTAGTGCAGCTGAGAGAACCTTGACCGCAAGCTACAGCTGATGAATGAACTTAATTAGTTACCGCTAAAATGCACCAAATCCATTTTTGGTAGCTCGTTACGTCTCTTCCAGTCTCTTTGCACGTTTTTTTCTTGCTAAAGATTTCTCAACAATTAGAACGATTTTCATTTCAGCGACTGGAAGCCAGAAATAACATTGTTACGGGCTTTATCGCAACGCTTCTACATGTACTAGGCAATATTTCCTCTATTCAGTTACAATTGGTGCATTAGCTCGCTTTATTTTTCTCTGATTATTCTATTCAGTTTAGACTTATAAGCGTTCGTAAGCCGAAATCATTTTTATAACTCAGTTCTTGTGTGGTGTGAGACTTAAGTCAAAGGAGAATTTTTTATCATAAAAGGCTGACAGAACTTGAGACGCGAAAGCCGTTGATCCTTTGCTGATGGAACGCTGCTTTGGTCATCTTTGGTATCAATAAACGTTGCGTTGCATTTAAATCGTAACTAGTCATTCCTCCTTATGGAATGTGAGACTAAAGTAATCTTTTAACCCTTAAGAATGACTAGCATCTAATTTCTTCCCAGAATAACCTCCTTGAATCACACTTTAAGGTCACGAGAACAGAGAAAATGATCACCAACTAAAGAGGCTTTCGATTCTCCCTGTCAGCACCTTTGGAAATGTCTAGAGAACAATATACAGAATATGCATACTGATGTTACGTGCATCACTTTGATATGAGCTTTTGAATAGACGTGTTTTATCATATTGTACATAGTTACTTAATCAGAATAAAAGCACCTTGTTTACAAATGCGTTTCATGATTTTCTGCCTCGGCGAAAAGCACACCATAGTTTCCCCTATGTGCATTTCTTACAAATTTCAACTTTATCAAACCGAGCAACTCAAACTATTCGTTCGGTAAAGTTTTGCGAGAATATGAATTTCACCCATCACTGATCATCCTTTTTGTCCATTATTTAATGCTTTTTATTTGTCTGATGACGATTTTCAGAGGCTCTTGTCGAATCTCGAGTGTGAATAAATTCCGGGATATTGTGCGCGAAAAGTTCGGGAGAATTTTCATCCTGAAACTCCATCATGGGGCTGTAACTCCGCTGGATTTCAACATATCTCGTGCTGGAAAAGGAGTTATCATTGCCATTTGCGAAGGGCTCTGATCTTTGCGGCGTTGAAAAATCGCTTCGCTGACCGCTCAAAAAGAAATCTGTAGCAATATCATCGGCAGAGTTATAAGTGTTACCATCATCTTCAAATTCTACAGTTGGACTGTACCCTCGCTGAATTTCTATGTACCTAACTCCATGAACTGCACCGGTGTTGCATCCATTAAACGTGAATTCTTGTGTTTCAAATGAAGTATCTTTCAACTCGCTTCGTTTTGCATTTTCTCTCTCCTTTTGGCATTGAAGTTGATGATCTATTAGCTTGTCCGACGGACACAGTTCCTCGCATATTTCACACGGTAAAGCTATGACAATGCTTCCGCTTTCGTGGGCCAATTTTTTTTCGCTTTCGTCGGCGCTTGAGGTCGTCTGATCGCCTAACCTCTTGTCTGTTTTGACGAAAGCTTTTTGCCCGTAATCCATTCTTGTTTCTGAGAGATCATTTACGCCACTTGATAATTTTACAACGCAAATCTCGCTGTTGTTATTGGTGGAAATGCTTCATCAATATCTTTTAGCGATTTTCTTCTGATCCGCTTTCGACATTTCCAAGGCATCTAATGTTCATTAGAACTTGTACATTAGACGGGTACAAATACACTCGAGGCATTGATTTGTCTGTGAAAGCCTCCTCTTCTTGAAAACTCTTACATTAATAAATCACTAATCTTCAACCCGTCATCTCCAGTAATTGCTGAGATTTTCCTTCAGTAGGAGTTGATAACTAGGTTGGATGAAGTTCTTTATCAATCGCTAGCCTTCCTTCCGTTCCTCCTGAGGGGGCGGGGGGTTACTGAAACTTGTGTGCGCTTACCGCCTAATTCAGAAGTGATTAGCAAATACCATTCATCACCGATTTTCTTCGGCCTAAATAATGGTAATAGAACCGAGTGGAGTAAAATTCGGTCTCTAACGTACGAGGATTTACAAAATCGGACGACCGAGAAGCGGGAGTCTGATTTGTTAATCACGAGTATGATGACAGACCGTATTAAACGACACGAAGTCCTGTTACCAGTTAATCAGTCATAACCATTACAATTTCCGAAAAAACAAGTATAATTATTCTAGAAAATATCTCCGATAGAGGTATAGTCTAAAGAAAACTCTACAGAATAATCAGAGGCCGGCTAATGCACCAATCACATTGGAGGAAGTTGTTATGGTTATGATTAATAATGGTAATAGGACCGAGTCCAATTCGGTCTGTTATCATACGAGTGACTAATAAAATCGGACGACGGTGAAACGGGAGTCCGATTTGTCAATCACTAGTATGATTACAGACAGAATTGGACGACACGAAGTTCTGTTACCAATTAATCATAACCATTGCGATTTCCGAAAAAAAGAATTATTTTCCTTTGAAAGAAAGAGTAAAAATCTTTTGAAAATGCCACGATGCACTTTTCCAGTCTTTCATATTTTAAAAAGCTTAAAAATCTTATGTCTAATGCACTGAGGCCGTCGGATGCTGAATTCTTTAAATGCGTTTTCAGTTACTCTGTATAACTCTTCTTCGTCTTCTTACGGTTACACCGCTGGGAGTTGTGTTTCCATGTTGTTCCATCCTTTCTACGGCTCTGCTCCGACGAGGAGTGGTTTCCTTGGCTGTTCCTTAGACACTGATCATAAATGGTTCTGGTGGGTTCCGTAATAGCCCCTTCCGGTGCCTGCATGTTTCTTACCGTGTGGAGGAGTTTGATAATACAGCACGTTACCACAACCATCTAGATGAAGCAAGCAGCATTAATGGTTCAGTATCCATACGGTTCAGTTACTGCGGCAAAATTGAAGCAAGCCTCTAAAGTAGACCCCAGCAAGGAAATTAAACGTTTTTTGAATGAAAATTAGAACTTATTCATTAACTCTCGAGCCTAGTCAATTGTGGTAGCGAACTGACTAAAGGGAAGGGTTTTAATAAGAATGATCACCTCCTGTGATTTCCTACTGTCCGTTCTCCAGGATATGGGACCCATGAGATTACCTTAAATGGTATACTAAGCATTCCTAATGCTGTTCTTATAGGCCGCTCTACTTAACCTTAAAACAGAATGATAAACATCGTCGGAAGAAATAAACATGTTTTGTTAAACTGGTTTTTACTGAATGAAAATCAGAGAACTGAAAAACTTAATTGTCCATAAGATTCAAGTGCTTGCTAACTTGCATTTCCAATGTGCTACATTTTAAATAAAAAAATAATAAGGTTAAGTAGTTTCCACGAAAAAAAAACTTTTTTTAACAAAAAAAACTTTAAAACATGTTTAAGCTTTGGTGTGAATGGGGTATCAGTTCAAAATTGGCATGCTCCAGCAAACTCGTGCTACTTTTGCCGAAAAAACAGGCAACATTCATAGCGCGAATATGCAGGTGACCTGAGAAAAAGTCACCCCCAGAACTGATCAGTAAAAAGTCCCTGACCATGCCTGAAGTGAAAGTTGAATTACTGTCGAACCTCCACCAACACAGTCCTAAAAACTGATATATAGTGCATTTGTATTCCAAATAGGTCCTGTCATGCGTTAAACGCAACTGGTACGCAACTTGCGATTTTTTTGGGCCCGATGAAGTTAGACCGACGCTAGGCCTCTCATCGCTCTGCCTTTTACGGGTCCTTACGCTTCAGAGCGCACACAAACTATTATCAGCTACGCAGGCTTCCACCAACTATGCAGGCTAAAATTGATATACAGTTTTGACACAATACGTTCTATCAACCCTTGCACCTCTATCATGCTACTCATTTAGCTAGTTTTTAGCTGTACGATGCAAAATGTTACCATGTATGTTTTATCGTTTGCCGGTTTCTTTAGGTTTGACGATGTGTCTAGAATTAGAAGAAGTGATATTTCCTTTAGAGCAGGCTTTATGGTTGTTAAGGTTTTGAAAAGCAAGAATGACCAGCTCCGTAAAGGTGACGAAGTCGTTATCTCCCAATTGTCTAGTTCTGCATGCCCTGTTGAGTTGCTTAAGAGGTATTTAGCTATGTTTAAGATACCCCCTGACTCCAAAGATTTCATTTTCAAGCCCATTTCTAAAGGGAAGGGCTTTTGTAAGCTTGTTGCCCCTGATAAGCCAATTAGTTACTCTACCATTAGAGGGGCTTTTCGCCGGGACCTGCTAAGTCTCGGAGTTGAACCATCCAAGTTTGGTTTGCATTCCCTACGTTCTGGAGGAGCCACTATGGCTGCGAATAATGGAGTAAACGACAGGGTTTTCCAACGACCATGTCGTTGGAAATCGGTACAAGCTAAAGACACATACGTAGACGATAACCTTGAACAACGACTCGTAGTATCGCGTTTTCTTGGGCTCTGAGGGCGTTTTCGTGTTCTTTTTAGTGGTATAAGATCACCTAACCTCGTGCGTCTTGCCCAATTCTTTGTCAGTCTATATGTGCCTCGGGTTGGTTCTCGGCAGGCTTCCCTAAATAAACTTATTTGGTGTACACTACTGTGTTTTTTGTTGTGTAGTGGAGACTAAATACACATTTTTAATTGAACCACATTCAAAAATTGCCTAAGGGCCGATTAACACGCTATACCTTAGCTTTGCCGCATGCGATAAGCTTACAACAAGCCTACAACACAACTTAAGACCATTTACGGAGAAGGGGCGAATTGAAAGCGTTAATGGTTTCACGATAGTATATTATGTTGGACAAAAACACATTTTTAGTTGAGCCACATTCTAAATTTGCCTAAGAGCCGATTAACACGCTACACCTTTGCCGCATGCGGAAAGCTTGCAACAGGCCTTTGACACAACTTAGGACCATTTACGCGCTAAGACGTTTTCACTATGGCATGCCAATAAGCCTGTACCGTTTGTGCTCGTAAAATTCTGAAAGGTATCTCTCTGGAAAACCAAAAAGTTTTTAAAAACGGCACAATACATTTGAGTCTTGCTGAACGTAGCCTGTAGAGCAGGCGTAATTTGGCGAGCGAGTGCTCAGTATTTTCTTAGCGAAAATCATGACCGCCATCTTTGATTTTAATGGCAGCAGAAGGCTGGGATGAGAAAGAAATCTGTACCAAGGGGGTGAGGGACAGCAAAAAATAAGGAGTAGGGTGGGTGTGGGGGAGTCTAATATTTTGCAGCATTGGTAATAAATCGCTCACTAGGAATGAACTTACCCCAGCAAGACTGAGTTTTCGCCATGGAGGTTCAGTTTTTTTTTCCAAAGTATAGGCCGGCTTATTGAAAAAAAAAGCACTGATTTTTCGGTCTGCTGGATATTTGTGATTTCTCTTGCAATTTGGTGGTAATAAGCACGAGTAAATTTTTCAGTGATAACAAAATTGCATGAACCCGTAGGCCAAGTGCGATTTGTAGTCTTTGAATGCGATTTGTAGTCTTTTTCAAGTACATTACTATGACCTATTACCGGTTGGAAATAATGGATGATTTTGGGCCGGAAAACTCTTATCGTTTTCCATTTACCATGCATTTCTTCACTTTTCTATTTGCGGAATTAATGCTTATCGGCTGAGTAGTTGTACCCAAAAAAAAACTTATTAATGCCGAATAAATATAAGCAGCTAAAACTGTAATGTGTACCGAAAAGGTTGAGGTTAAAATGAATTATACGTCATTCTTTATTATCAAATATTGCTACACATTGTTGTACCGAGTACAGGCCGTTGCACCCTCTGTTTGCTAATGATTAAATTTGATGGAAGAAGGTTAGCTCAGTACTCTATGAGACCATTGGCGTCGGTAATTTGACGTCAGCGTGGATATCACCATGCCTACAGCGTGCTAAACAAGAAATAGTTCGTTTCATTTCCCACCTGTACGTTCCCTTTTCTCCCTTCGCAATTAAATGATAAAATGACCATAATGAGCCTAAGCCTTTCAAACAGTTCGATCGTTCGCTGAATGGGAGAAGAAAAATATTTAAAATTGGATAATTTTCGGCGCAAAAGCCACGACTTAGTTTGAGTGATTCGCCTTGAAGCAACACTGAGCATTCTCAAACCACTTCCTTCTCCTTCGTCAAATTGCATTTGTCTGAAATATTTTGATTTTACAGCTAAAAAATAATGCACATTAGTTCACATGGTTGAAACTGAGCTATTGCACGATTGGGATTTCTGTCACATTCTTCTCGTTATGTAGACCTTTTTTAGTTCAAGATAGCCAACCTGATAAATTACCTATAGTGGGTCCAACGGATACCTAAATCCGTGATTTATCATTTAATCCAGTATTATCCTATCTTCCAGTAAATTTTCTATACGACAAAGATGCGTTGACGCTCTTTGTGTTTTCTTCAGGTGAGAGATCGATAGAATAAACAGCCTTCGATTTCAAACCATTTAAAAATCGGTGGAACGTAAAACTATCTGAGAGTAAAGTGATTGAAGGAGCCAAGCTCATGATGTTGCTGAGAAGCCGGTATCATCGATTTTCACCGTAAGATTTCCTTTGCCCTCAAAAGGTGAGGGTCTTAGTCCTAAATTTCGGGTTTGTAATGTATCTGATCTTATCGTCTGTGTGTTAAAAGAATGCAATAACCTTGTATTAGAAACAACCGATCACGAAAAAGACAAAAGAAAAATACAAAGAACAACTGTATTTTTTGAATCCGAAAAAAATGCTGACAAAGGGAAAAGCCGGAATCATCAGGTTTGAGTAAATAAGGAGATACAAAGCCGAACTGAACGAAATGGCCAAATTCAATCTGTTGCTTTTCAATAACAATCGTATACTTGACTTCTATTAATACATGTAATCCTTAGTGTTATCTTATGAGCTTTTGATGGTCATATAACCAGTTTGTACCTAGCGTTGCCACATGACTTCGTGCTTCTCAGTTGTAAGCTTCTTTTGTTTTTGCCGCATGAATGTGATATGAATGTAAAATAAAATAACGTCTGTGAAAAAAAAACCTAGACAGTCGGTAACAGTATTTTAAGGTTATGGCTGTAAAAGGAAAAGATGAATCTGTGTTAATAAAAGAACCATGTAAGAAGATAGGGACGGAGTTCGCTTGGCTTGTCGCACTCTCTCCAGATGGGAACGTGCGTGTAGCTTTTAATATCTTTCTTGTCGATAGTTTGTTTAATACTTTTTAGTGTGAGGATATTTTGGCGATGCTCCGTACGAAACTGATGTTGTTGTTTCGCTCTGTTTTGTCTTGTTTTGTTTTATTTTGCTCTTTTGTTTTTTTTTTTGGTCTTTTGGTTTTTTTTTCTTAACATGATATCTCCCGCTGTATTAGACATACTACAGCAAAAATAACTGCATCCATCACAGCCTGGGAAAACAAATACAGCCTCTGAATTTGATTTCATTCTTCTGCTATCAAGATTTAAAAAAAAAAGAGACTGCTGTAAAAAGACAATAAAAATTGTTGGATTTCAGTCTCCCTTTTGAAGAGAAAGATTGTTTGGGAAATGTTTCGCTTTGAGATCGAATCATGTAGCCAAATTCCAGGGCTGTAATATTCAGAAAATCTTTCCCTTGTCTGATTGTCGAGTAATATTTCTCTTTAGAGGGAGCGAGGGCCGTGTGAGACCCGTAATCATTTTCAGCTCTTTCTTTATTCATATTAGCTCATCAAAATCGCGACTGTTACTTGCTCGACTGTGTTACTAATCTGGAAAAAGAGATCGCGCGACTACGGCGTAGTTAGACGCTACATTCCCGCCCTGTAGGTCAACCAATTAGGTGTGTGCCGAATGACAGAATGTAAACAAAGCATGGGTGGCTTTTCCTCTCCGACAAGTTTAACTGGCACTTTTAAATCACTTGGCAGGAAAATTATTTTGCGTGCATTTCTAGTTATCGATAATCATAAAAGTCCTTGAGAGGTCAGTGTTAAAATCCCTAGTTGAAGGGGCCTGCGGTATACCGTGGATGACGAAGAATTGGTCATTTCCTCTAGTTCTGGGGATTTCAAAGCTTATGGTGGAGTCTTGTTATTTGAAGCTTCAACGTTGAATTCCTCAGTCACATGACGTACATCTTTCCCACGAGTCTTCCTTCTGCTGGTTTTTTCTATTTTTATCTAAACACTTCTGCTAATGTTTAATTCATCGATAAAAGGAAGATTTACCATCCTTTATCTGCTTGGAGGAGCAGTCACTCTGAAATATGTTTTGTCATTTAAAACATGTAATCGTGTTTTCGAGTCACGCTGTGGTACTTTTTTTTTCTTTTTCCCAGAATTTTATGCTTTCTATCAATTTTGAATGAAGTCATGTTTGTATGATGTGGTTACATCGGAGTAAAGCAACGACTGAATCAACGACAATTTTAAACAACAATTTAGTTGGACCTCCATCGAATTCCAAGAACTCATCTTTACCGTTAACACTAACTCTTGTTTCTTACCTCTTTTCTTTGCTAATCCGCCCAGATTCCCGGAGAGTTTGGTATTAGATCAACTAATACTTGCCCAACTGATGTTTTTTTTTTCTTTTATTCTTATCACTCGTCTTCTTGACATTGTATTGATATTGTAAGGAGAAAATTCTGTCTTGGTCACTCCTGGTAGTTGAAGAGTTAATTGTTTTAGGATAAATGCAACAAATGGTGCGGATCAATCGATTGTTACACAAATGCTCAGTGAAGTGTTTGCGTGAGCGAATCCGCATATAGACATTGTGGGTTCAATAGACTTGAATGCCGTTGGATTAAAAAGTGTGCTGGGCAGAACCTTCGGATGGCCCTTTGGTGAACCTCTGCTTGCAAAATTTGAGGCTAGCTTAATACGATAAAGACTAAGCCCTTTGGTGACGATCAATGAGAATTTCAAAACACTTTAAATAGAAGCTGATATCCCGATAAATGGACTACAAATCCTGGTAGGTCACGGGGGAGCGTGTTAGCGCCCTAAAAGAGCGTTTATTTTTGTTTCAAACCTGACTTTTCAAGTACGACACTTTCGGAACTTTGAACGTATTTTGACTATTTGTCGTTGGATCTGATCCCATTCCACGAAAGTGTCCACATCCGGTAATCAAAAGTCCATTTCCTTGTCACTGTTGACAGATTACTCATTTGATTTGTCTGAGGATCTCTTACAGGGCGAAAAACATTAATGGAATACGGATATGGTTTTAATTTGAATTAAATTCACATACATAATAATTCATTACATAATAACACAAGCTATACACCCGATTATAGCCCTATTATCTGTTAAAAGACATTTTCCCTCTGAGCTCCCTCACGTTGATAACTACGTAGTAGTTTTTTCGCGCCCAGCAAAGATCGATCCATGTAAAGGCTAATCTCAGTTTCACGTTCTACGCATCAGAGCGTACACGAAACGACACTGTCAAAATATAAATATCAAATGAACCAGT